GGCCCAACTCAGCTGCTGGGTTTTTTAAATCTATAAAAAGAATTAATTTTTCTCCATATCCAACAGTTGGGAATCACATCCCTGGAGCAGCTCAGGTACCTCTGGGCCTCCTGGAATTGCTCTGAAACCTTCCATGAGTTCATTGTGTCACTGCTCCTGAGTCCCTGACAGGGAGAAAACGAGTCACTCAGCCCAGGAAAATGATTGTTTGGGAGATGGAAAAGCAAAACATGTTCTCCTTCATCTTCTGAAAGCTGAAATAAAACACCCCTGGGGCTGTGGCAGCATCAAAAGTGGCTTTTTTTTGATGTTGGTACAACAGAACTCCAGAGAGGTCCAAATATAACAAGGTGGAAGGTGCAAGGAGTGGGGCCAGAGGAGCAGAGGGACCTGCACTGACCCAACTCAGCTGCTGGGTTTTTTAATTTATTAAAAAAATCCACTTTTCTCATATCCAACAGTTGGGAATCACATCCCTGGAGCAGCTCAGGTACCTCTGGGCCTCCTGGAATTGCTGTGAACCCTTCCAGGAGTTGACTGTGTCCCTTGGCAGGGTTCCTGTCCTGGCTGTGAACCACCTTATTATCCCCCCAAACCCCCACTGGCTCCCTGGAATCCATCCCAACTTCCTTTCAGTTTTATTGCACTTATTTTCTGGTTGTTTGGGCTTTTTTTTTTCCAGATGAAGACACAAGGCAGGCTGGTTTTGTTTGGGGTTTTGTTTTTTAAATGGCTCTAAACACTGATGGTGTCACACCCTCTAATCTAATCTAATTTATGGCCTGGGGTTTTACGGCCCTTTCAATGTCTTGGAGCTGCCTGGAATCCTCCAAAATCCCACCCTCCAAATAATGCAGGTGCTTTAAATGAGCAACTGTGGCCAAGTGTGGAAAATCCCACATGAAAACTTGACCTTTTGAGTCCTGAAAGAGATCAGTGCCACTGAGCTGGGCTTTAATCTTGGCCTAATTAAGTCTGTTTGTTGGAGAGCCACAGGTCCTTAACGTGTGTTACTAATCCCCTGCTTAATCCAAACAGTCTTTCCAACAGGGAATAGGGATATTTAAGTCCATGGAGTCTCTCCTGCTCCTTGCTGGGAGAGGGGAGGAGAAAACCCAGAGGGCAAAAGGCAAAATCTTTCCTTTGAGGATGGAACAAAGCCGGGGATGCCCTTGGATGTCTCCAGTGGGATGAGGGAGGAAATGTGGGAGGGGAAGATCCAAGCTCAGGAAGGATTTCCCTGGGCAGCCTCTGGCTCCTGTGGTGAAAGGAAATCCTGGCTTCCTGCAGGGAAAAGGAAACTGGGAGAAGGTTTGAGATCCTCTGAGCACAAAGAAAAGACCTGTGGGATCGAGTCCAACCACCAACCCACCCCACCACCACCGTGGTCACCGTTAAATCACGTCCCCAAGTGCCACATCCACGTGGTTTTTTGGACTCTTCCAGGGATGGTGAGATCCCACCACCTCCTCCCAGTGATTTACAATCCCTTCCAGGACAATTTTTTTCCCCTAATTTCCAATCTAAACCCCCAAGTTAAGGCAGTTCCCCCTCATCCTGGCATTTCTTGTCCTCTCACCTGTCGCCTCGTTCCTCTCGCGGTGTCTTGGGTTGTCTCTCCCCTGGCTCCTGCTCAGGAATTCCTGCTTTTCCCTCTCTGCCAGGCACAGGGATGAGCAGAGGGACAATGTGGTACTGCCTCAAACACAGGGTCCAGCTACAAGGTCCTGTTCCCCAAACCAACCCAAATCCTTCCAGGACCTGCAGGGAGACGACAGGAAAGGTGGAGAGGGACTGGAGGGACAGGACAGGACGAGGGGGAATGGGTTCAAATTGAAAGGGAGCAGGGTTAGATGGGATATTGGGAAGGAATTGCTGTCTGGGAGGGTGGGGAGGGGCTGGAATGGATTTCCCAGAGAAGCTGTGGCTGCCCCTGGATCCCTGGGAGTGTCCAAGGGCAGGTTGGAGCAACCTGGGGTAGCAGGTGTCCCTGCCCATGGCAGGGGGTGGGATGGGATGATTCTTAAATTCCCTTCCAACCCAAAGCACTCTGGGATCCTGTGATTCCATGGAGTTGGAGGCAGGGATGGCTCCAGACAATTCCTGGGGGATGCTCCTCCGAGGGATTAAAGCAAAAAACTAAACTCCAGGGAGAGCTGAGAGCCCCTGGCAGGGCCTAAAGGGGCTCCAGGAGAGCTGGAGAGGGACTGGGGACAAGGCCTGGAGGGACAGGACACAGGGAATGGCTTCCCAGTGCCAGAGGGCAGGGCTAGGTGGGATATTGGGAAGGAATTGCTGGCTGGGAGGGTGGGGAGGGGCTGGAATGGATTTCCCAGAGCATCTGTGGCTGCCCCTGGATCCCTGGATCCAAGGCCAGGCTGGAGCAACCTGGGATAGTGGAAGGTGTTGAGGTTGGAACTGGCTGATCTTTAAGTTCCCTTCCAACCCAAACCATTCCAGGATTCCCTGATTGCACCTGCTGCTGGGGGGGGATGCTCCTTTCCCTGGGTTTAACCCTTTCCCTGGGATTCCTTTCCCTCTCTTTAAGCAGAGCCTTCAGTGCCGACTTCCCCAGCAGAAACCCCCCTGCTGACCCCATCCTTGGCCCTGCTTTGCCCTCCTGGACCTGCAAAAAGATGATTTCAGCAGACAAGGCCTGTCCCAAACCCCTCTGGGACCAGCAGTGTCTCTGCTCAGCTCTCCAGCTAGCTGGAAAAGCCATTCCATAAATCCATGGCTCACTTGGAGTGTGTGAGGGGGGAGGATACAGAGCTCAGGGGAGCAGCTGAATGCGAAGAACAGGAGGGTTTGAAACTGGACACTCCTCAAAACCAGGAGGACAAACCAGTCCAGAGAGCAGGGAAGGAGGGAGGAGGCGGCTGTGGAGAAGGACTGGGAAGAAATCCAGGGATTTGGCAGGTGGGGCTGAAGCGTGGGGATGTCCATCATCCAATATAAATGAAATTCCAGATGCTAAAACTGTTTGGGTTTGGAAGCAAAAACCAGAAACGTCAGGGTTTTGTCCTGTTGAGTCTGCACTGGGACAAAATCAGCAGAGTTAAATCCCCTCAGTTTTGGCTGAGTCTGACTCCTGGAGCCTGGTGTGTCAGGAATGCTCCTCCCCTTCCTCCCATCCCAAAAGAGAAGCCCCAAATTCTTGGCTTAAAACCTTTAAATCCTGGGCTCACATCTGGTTTTGTGAAACCTTCTGGCAGCCCAAAGGAGGGGTTTATCCACTCGGAATCGAGCTGCAGGTCCCACTTCAGCAGCTGAACCTGCGGGTTTGGGGTCTCTGGAGGATCCATTCCTCGTTCCTCGCCGAAACCCAGCCAAGAAAGCAAAATTCCAGGGGGGTTTTGAAGGAGTTTCCAGGAATTCCATCCCAGAAAATCAACCTGTGGCTCAGATGAACACGACCAAGTGTAAAAGGCTGTCCCAGACAGTGTAAAAGGCTGTCTGGGCTGGAAATGTTGTTAAAAGGCAGAGATTTTTTGCCAAAGCACTCGGGTCTGAAGGCAGATTTGCACTTTGGAGGAGATATATTATATATGTTATATTATATGTAATATAAAGATCAGTATATCAGAGTATTACATTCTATATATATATTAAATAGAGGTCAACATATCAGAATATATATGTTATAACAGATTATATAGAACATAAAGATCAATATATGAGAGTATTACATTCTATATATATTATATAGAGGTCAATATCTCAGAATATATATATGTTATAACAGATTATATAGAACATAAAGACCAATATATCAGAGCATTACATTCTATATATATATTATATAAGGTCAATATCTCAGAATATATATATGTTATAACAGATTATATATAATATAAAGATCAATATATGAGAGTATTACATTCTATATACATATAGAAAAGGAGGCTCAGGGGGGACCTTCTGGATCCCTAAAATTCTGTGGAAGGAGGTTGGAGCTTGGGGGGGGTCGGGCTCTGCTCCCAGGGAACAAGGGACAGGAGGAGAGGGAACGGCCTCAAGCTGGGCCAGGGGAGGCTCAGGTTGGACAGGAGGGGGAATTTCTCCATGGAAAGGGTGGTCAGGCCTTGGCAGGGGCTGCCCAGGGAGGTTTGGAGTGCCCAGCCCTGGAGGTGTCCCAGGAAGGCCTGGCCGTGGCACTCAGTGCTCTGGGCTGGGGGACAAGGTGGGGATGGGGCACGGGGGGATTTCTGTGATCTCAGAGGCCTTTTTCAACTCAAATAACTCTGGGAATTGTCTCTGCTGCCCTGGCAGGGAAGGATCTGATCCTGCTGTCAGGATGGATCTGATCCTGCTGTGGGGATGGATTGAGATGCTCCAGGAGTGTCTGGACAACGCTCTCAGGGACGGGGTGGGATTGTTGGGGTGTCTGTGCAGGACGATCCTTGAGGGTCCCTTCCAACTCAGGATATTCCATGATTCCATGATTCCATGATTCCAGAGCTTGAGTAACCAGACCAATTCCCAGAGACAACCAACTCACCTGCATCCTTTGCAATCGCAATTAACACCTCACGTTTACGGGAATTAGGAATTTATTGGCGTTGTCGAGGCTTCATCTCCGTGCCGGGCCCAAATTCCAGCGCGGTTCCAGCACAGCCCCAGGGGTGCCATCAGAGGGCTGTATCCAGGTCGCCTCCCGGAGCGGCAGGAGGAGTCGCGGAGGTGGCACTCACTGCTCTGGGCTGGGTGACAAGGTGGGCGTGGGTCACCGGTCGGACTGGGTGATCTCAGAGGTCTCGTCCAACCCAAGTATCCTATAATTCCATGGAATGTCGGGCGCTGCCCCCCCCTCCGTGCCTCGCTTTCCCCTCAGCGGGGGGGAGCCCGCGCCGCCAGGGGGCGCTGCTCCCCCCCCCGCCCTCCCGCAGAGCCCGCGCCTCGCTCTGGCCACGCCCCCGCCGCTCCTGATTGGCCGCCGCGGCCGCCGCCGCCATTTTCAAACCGCCGCCGGCGCCGCCGCCGCCATTTGTGACCGGGCTGAGGCGGCTCCGCTCCCAATCCTGCTCCCAGCTCCGCTCTCAGCCCCATGGAGGCAGAGCCCCCGGGCCAGAAACCCCCTCGGCGGAGACGCAGCAGGGCCAGCAGCCCGCCCCGCCCGGCGGACGGCACCCCCGGCGCGGCCGCCTCCTGCAGCCGGTAGGAGTCGCGATCCCCCCGCGCGTCCCTCCCCCCGTGAGGGGCTGAGGGTGACCCGCGGGCCGGGGGTGCCCTCAGGGGACACCCCGCTCAGCTCCCCTCGTTCTTCCCTCAGCTCCCCTCCCGCCTTCCCCGGCTGGCTGTGAGGGGAGCCCTCACGCTCCTGTTTTCCCAGGGAAATCCCCTCCTTCCCGCTGTGCGGCACCTGCTCTGGTGTCATGAAGGGAATTCCTCTCCTCCAGGCTCCGGGAGGGTCCACTATCCACTATCCCAGGTTGTTCCAGCCTGGCCTTGGGCACTTCCAGGGATCCAGGGGCAGTTCTCTGGGCAACCTGGGCCAGGGCCTCCCCACCCTCCCAGCCAGCCATTCCTTCCCAATATCCCACCGAAATTCCCACCCCTGTGTGCCAAACTTTCACGGAAAAACCTCCCCCATATCCCCCGGGTCGCCCGCATCCCTTTGGGAAAACGAGGCGAGGCTTCTTGTTGCTCCTTGGGGTGGGAATAATTTGGAGACGGGGTGTGTTTTATACCCCCTGGATCATCTCCCTCTCCTGGATGTGGGAAGACCCTCCAGCATCAGCTTTGCCTTTTATTCTGATTTTTAAACCCCTGTGCGTGCCATCTGTTACTGTTATTCTGATATATCGACCTCTATGCAATAGATACGTATATAAAATATATATTGATATATTGACCTTTATATTATAGCATAACATGTAGTATATATATATTCGGATATATTGACCTCTATAATATATATATATAGAATGTAATACTCTATATTGACCTTTATGTTATATATAATATATTATAACATATATATATATATTTTCTGAGATATTGACCTTTATATAATATATATAAAAATATATATTCTGGTATATTGCCCTATATATAATATAGGTATAAAATATACCTTCTGATACATTGACCTTTGTATTGTATATAATATATATAACATATAATATATATTCTGATACATTTACCTTTATGTAACATATATAATAATATATATAACCTGAGATACTGACCTATAATATGTATAAAATATATCTTCTGATATATTGACCTCTATATGACATATAATACATAATATATACAATAACATATAATATATAATCTAATATATGGACCTTTATGTTACATATAATATATATAACATTTATTCTAATATATTGACCTGTATCTTATATATAATAGATATAATATTATAACATATATTATATATAAAAATATGTTCTGAGATATTGATCTGTGGATAATGTATATAATATATGCATTCTGAGGTATTGACCTATAATATGTATAAAATATATCTTCTGATATATTTTATATATAATATATATACTATATATTATATATAGTATATAAAATATATAATATATATTTTATATATATAATATAATATATATTATATATAACATATATCAAAAGATATATTGACTTGTATATTATATATATTATATAATACATACAATATTATAACATATAATAGATAATCTGATATATTATCTATATATAATACATATATAAAATATATCTTCTGATATATTGACCTGTATATAACGTATATATGTACTCTGAGATATTGACATATATTTGATATATTATATATAATGTATAATAGATATATAATAATGAATATCTATATATATTCTGATGCATTGACCTGATATATTCCCACGACCACCCACTAAAAGGAACTTAAGAGAGGAGTTAACCTGAAATTCAGTTTATCTGGGTGTGTTTAGACCTTTATCAGCAGTGACCCATCCCCTGGTGACTCAGGTCTGACTGATCCCTGCCCGATCAGCAGAGGTTTGTGGCTTTTGTCGCTCTCAGGGCTATGAAATGATGTTAAACCCCACATTTCTATGGGACAACTGTGGCTTTAGATCCCCCCAGCCCAGGCAGTTTCAACTTCCAGGGGCAAAGATTCCCTCCTGGATCGGGATCTGACTCCGCTCGCCGGGGTGTTGGCGCTGCCCTTTGCATCCCAGGGGGGATCCGAGGGGGATAATAATAATAGCAGTAATAATACACTTTAAAATCAAAACTTGGAAGGACTTGAGGTCTTTTTAAATGACTTTTAGCCAAATGTACAAAATCTGTGTCTGAAGTTCGAGGGTCTGACTTGGGCCTTCAGCGAAGGCCTCCACTCCCTTTTTGCACCGAGACATAAACATACTGAATTGGACAGAAATATACTGAATTAGACAGAAATATACTGAATTAGACAGAAATATACTGAATTAATGTTAGGTTTAAATAGGTTTAATTAATATTCTATGCCCAGCAAACGCCCTGCCAGCTCGCCCTCCCCTCGGGATCGTGCGTTCACCCAGCCAAGAACGAGTTTTATCCCTGCAACCTGATGCTTGGAGGAGTTTCCCTCCGCCCCCCAGCCTGATTTTGGTCCAATCTCAGCGCCGGCAGAACCAGAGAGACTCGGGGAAGGCACTGAAACCCCCCGGCGGTGTTTGAGGGCGAGGTAATCTCCTTTCTTAGCCCTCTTTTCCAGCCCCTCCGCGCTGTTTTCCCCTCGGATTCCCGAGGCTCCGACATTCCCGACCCGCTCCTGTCCCCGCCGCTATTTTTAAGCATCACATTTCCCTCGTGTGATTGCGGGAGAATTCCCGAGGCTCCCAAAAGAAAGGGAATGTGGCCGGGGGAGGTGCGAGGGGCCGAGTATTTGTGGCTTCTCTGTGTCATGCCGGAGTTGGGGCTGAAAAGGGAGGAGGAGACACGGTCGGGGGGTGCTGGAGACGGTGACTTCACCCAGGTCGGAGATGGTTCGTCTGGGCACGGCTGGAACAGCGTCTCGTTTTCTATTTAGCCCTTTTCCCCTCTGGCAAAAGCACCTGCGAGCTCCTGCCCAGCAACAGGAGTCGGGTTTCGGGGAGAAACCTGAGAGGGAATGGCTCTGGGAAGGAGGGGAAGCCACAGAGAAGGGCAGTCCTGGAGGAAAAGTGAGGGATGGGGAGAAAAACCCTCTTTTTTCAGCCCCTTTCTGAGCCTGAGAGCACATTTCAGGGAGAGGGAATGGCTCTGGGAAGGAGAGGAAACCACGAAGAAGGGCAGTCCTGGAGGAGAAGTGAGGAATGGGATAAAAAACACCTGTTTTTCCAGCCCCTTTCTGAGCCTGAGAGCACAACCAGTGTTTCAGGGAGAGGGAATTGCTCTGGGAAGGAGAGGAAACCACGAAGAAGGGCAGTCCTGGAGGAGAAGTGAGGAATGGGATAAAAAACACCTGTTTTTCCAGCCCCTTTCTGACCCTGAGAGCACAACCAGTGTTTCAGGGAGAGGGAATGGCTCTGGGAAGGAGGGAAGCCACAAAGAAGGGCAGTCCTGGAGGAGAAGTGAGGAATGGGATAAAAAAAACCCTCTTTTTCCAGCCCCTTTTTGAGCCAGAAACACAACCAGTGTTTCTGTGACCCTCGGCCCCACAGAGGGTGATAAAAAACCTGCAGATAGTGGGACTGAGAAAAGAAACCCTTTTGGTTTAGGGTTGCTTTGTTTGCTCTCTAATCCTGTTCCACAGTTTAGCTGGTCCCCAGGTGAATCCAGGTGAAGCCAGGACAGCCCAGGGGCACTTCATCCCTTTGGAAGTATTAATTAAATATGGATTATTAACAGGAGAAAATATTAATTAAATATATACTAACAAACATATACTAGTAAATATTAATTGGATCTTAATTAAATATTAATTATCTACAGGAATAAAAATTAAATATATAATAATAAATATACACTAATAAATATCAATTGGATATTAATTACATATTAATTATCTACAGGAATAAATATTAATTAAATCTATAATAATTAATATATATACAAATAAATATTAATTAGATATTGTTTAGATATTAATTATCTACAGGAATAAAAAATTAAATAAATAATAAATATATACAAATAAATATGAATTAGATGTTGATTAGATATTAATTATCTACATACACTAACAAACATATACTAGTAAATATTAATTGGATCTTAATTAAATATTAATTATCTACATGAATAAAAATTAAATATCTAATAATAAATATACACTAACAAACATATACTAGTAAATATTAATTGGATATTAATACCTGGAACCCCTCAGCACTCTGTAGTTTTTAAATGAGATTAATCCCAATTAATTGGCTGATTCCCCATGACCTGGCTGACTTTGTGCAGAAGGGTTAAAAGACAAGAGTGGTTTTATGTAGGGGGGAGACACCCCAAAAATAAATGGAGTTTTACACTCAGTCAGCAGCTGAACCCCCTTTCCCCGGGGCCAGGGGGTTGCTGGATGAGGCTTGCAGGGATCTGGGGGGGAGGAAAGAAAGGAGAAAAGTGGCCTTTTTTGGCCTCTTTATTTAGACATGAATAAAATAAAATAAAACCCTTCCCAGCCTGGGACAGGAGCTTTGTCAGGAACAGCAGAAAGAGGAGCAAATAATCTCATTTTTTCACTCAGGGGAAGGACTGGTTCTAACGAGGCACCCGAAGACAGAGAGTCCTTCCTGAATTACATGTTCCCATATTTAAAAAAGAATTAAAAAAAGCTTTTAAAGTCTTCCCTGACACCCCCTTGTCCTGCACAATCTGCACTAAACTCTTCAACTGGCTTTTATTTATTCACTTAACCCATTTAACCCATATAAAGGCATTTTTTTGTTGGCCAGTGACCTCAAAGGAGTGGTTTTGATGGTGATGCTTCTCTTCCCTTTCTTCTCCCTAATTGTGGCTTTTCTGGCAGGCAGAGCTGTTTGTTTGCTCTCCATGTCTCTGGAATTAAAACCCTCCCTTTCCACCACACTTCCCTGGGCTGGGAAGACAATCCCAACACACACTTTTTTTTTTTTTCCCCTTCCCATTAGCACATCAAAGTTCACCCCGAAAGTTCCCTTTTCCCTCCTCTGCAGAAGGTGGCAATTCCAAAGGCAGCCCTTGGACACGACTGGAAGCTCCAGGGAAATGGCTGAAGGCTCCACTTCCCG